TTATAAATTTAATAATTTTAATAATAAAAAATATAAAAAATATAAAAAATACACTTAATTGTTTTTAAACATGTCTTTATCAGTCATTTAATTTTAAACAACAATTACTAATTATTGTTCAACAAAATAGTTATATTAATCGAATTTGTTATTTACTATCAGCTATTCTCTTTTTGCTATCCATCATCTACCATATGTTAATCACCACCCACTATCTACTACCATTATCCATTATCTGTTATCAACTATCTGTTATCCATTATCTACTGAATTTTAACCGTTATTTCAAATAGCCCCAAAATGAAAAAAATCCAATACTCTCATTGTCTCAAAATAATTGTTATTTTTTTATTTACTTTAACTTTATCTCAAAATGAATTGTGATTTTTTCATTTTTAAGGTAGAAAAATATTTTTTTCCCTAATTTGGTCCTATCATTATTTATTTATTTTAAGTGTAATGATAGAGAGATAACTTTTTTGTACAACTTTTTTTTACAACTTTTATATACAATTTTTATGTGTCATTAAGGGCTTGTTTAGTATAGCGGTTTAGAGGTAGTGATTAGCGGTTTTGTCCAAATTGCTAAGAATATGTATTTGATAAACTTATTTATTTTAAAACTACTACAAACTAAATGTTTGATAAAATTTTTTATTTAGCAGTTTCAAACTAGTGGATAATTGTTAAGATTTAAATTGTTAGTGGATTGAACAAACTACCTATGGCAACTTCTTGTACCAAACCACTAATAGATTAGGATTTTTTAATTTTTTTAACAAATTTATCTTTTTTAATTTTTTAATTTTTAGCCGTGGTTTTTAATTAGTACTTATTTAATTAGTTTCAAATTTATTTTTTGTCTTTAATGATATTAAGTAATTATTATATTTTTATTTTTACATTAATTTATCATAAAAATATATTAGTTTAATAAAAAATTTTGTTAGTTAAATTTTTTTTGTTCTTTATTTAAAACGAATATAATTTAAACTTTATTAAAAATATAAATTAGTGTATGATTACACTATTATAATTTATTTATTTTATATTATTATTGTTATAAAATTAATAATTTTAATAATAAAAAATGTAAAAAGAAAACAATACAGTTAATTATTTTTAAACATATCCTTATCAGTCATTTAATTTTAAATAGTAATCGCTAACTATTATATAACTAAACAGTTAAATTAATCAAATCTGTTATTTGCTTTCCGCTATCTGTCACTTAGCATTTACTAATCACCACTAGCTACTCGTTACCCGCTATCTACTGAATTTTGATTACTATACCAAACAAATCATAAATGAGTGAATGCATTCAATTTCATAAGTTCCAATGAATTAAAAATATTTAATCACTTAAATATCTGTAAGATTGTATAAAACTATTGTCTCTAAATTATTTTTAATTTTAATTAGTTATTTTATTACAAAAAATATTTCTTTATTGTTTAAATTTTTCTTATCAATATGTTTGATTTAAGGAAATGGAAGGGGCTGAGCAAAGGGGGAGGGGTGAAAATTCCTTTATTTATTGGTTAGCAAAAAATTTGGAGAAGAGGGGAGAGGAAGGAAGCAGAGTAATTTACTTTATTTATTACTTTAATTCCTTTTTTAACCAAATAAAGCGGGTTAAAGTATACATTTAGCTCTTTACCTTATTAAGTTTAAAGTTTTTAACCGCTTAGTTTATATTATGAAGTTTTTAACCTTTAAATTTAAAGATTTGAAAATTTTATTTCTTAAACTAACAAAATCTATTAAGTAGCACTCTGATAAAAAATATTTACAGAATTAGTTCTTAAAAATTTAAAACATAATAATTTAGTTCTAAAAGTTTAAAAATTAAAAAAAATTAAAAAAATTAATAAACTAAAAGGAATTAATAAGTGACTTTTTTATATACATTAGAATAGTATTAGATACTCACAATAAATTAAGCAATTAGTACAATTTGAAGAAAGAATTTTGATTGATATTAAAAAAGATTTCTTAGTTGACTTAAGATAGAAAATTCAAGAGACTAGAAGAACACAGCCAAAACTTTTCTTTAATTTCAGTTAGAATTCTTTCTTTAAATTGAACTAATCGCTTGATTTATTATAGATACCTAACACTATTCTAATATGTGTGAGAAAGTTATCTATTAATTATTTTTTGTTTACTAATATTTTTAATTTTTAAACTTTTGAAACTAAATTGTTACATTTTTAATTTTTGAGAATTGATCCTATAAATATTTTATTCTCATTTTAAGGGAAAGTTAATGAAAAAGTTAATAGATTCCATTAATTTAGGGGCTAAAACTTCAAACCTTTACATTTAGGGGCTAAAAACTTTATAATGTAAAGTGAATGGTTAAAATCTTCAAACTTATTAAGTTGAGAGGCTAAATGCATGCTTTAACCAATAAAGGGCGGTGAGGGGATTATCCATTTTTTTCAAATCAAATATATTATAAAAATAATATAAGTAAATACAAAATTATCCTCATATCCTTTATTTGAAAAAGAATTTTTCTAATGTATGTTTTAAAAAAGTA